GGTCATGCATCTCTGGAAGGTGGCGGGAGCGTTACAAAGACCGAACGGCATCCTCCGAAACGCAAATGTCCCGTAGGGACATGCGAAAGTAGTCTTTTCTTGTTCCTCTAGAGCTATTGTAATCTGATTGTAACTAGAATACTCGTCTAGAAAGCAATAGCACTCCTTCCCTGCAAGACAATCAAGCATCTGGTTAATAAAGTGAAGTGGAAAATGGTCTTTTCGAGTTACCTTATTCAGGCGACGGTAGTACATACAAACTCTCCAACTAGTCACCGTTCTTGTCAAGATCAACTCGTTGTCATCGTTAGTTATTACTGTCATACCACCCTTTTTGGGAACGCATTGAACCGGGCTAACCCAGCTGCTATCTGAAATGGGGTAGATCACCCCAGCGTCTAACCATTTTATTATCTTCTTCTTGACCTCCTCTTTCATTTTGGGGTTGAGCCTCCTTTGTCTCTTGATAGAATTGGTGGCTCTTTCTTCTAGAATGATTTTGTGCATGCAAAAAGTAGGGCTAATTCCTCTTATGTTTTCTATGGTCCATCCAATTAAGAACAAGGTTAGTCTCTTCACACTCTTTTAAAACATTCTTTAGATTCTATAAAAAAACATCAAACGACTCACCAAATACAGAAAAATCATCCATGAATATTTGTATCGTGCTTTCTACCATGTCAGAAAAAATAGCGGTCATGCATCTCTGGAAGGTGGCGGGAGCGTTACAAAGACCAAACGACATCCTCATAACGCAAATTTACCGTAGGGACACATGAAAGTAATCTTTTCTTGGTCCTCTAGAGCTATTATAATCTAATTGTAACCAGAATACCCGTCTAGAAAGCAATAGCACTTCTTCCCTGCAAGTCGATCAAGCATCTGGTCAATAAAGGGAAATGGAAAATGATCTATTCGAGTTACCTTATTCAGGCGACAATAGTCCATACACACTCTCCAACTAGTCATCGTCCTTGTCGGGATCAACTCGTTGTCATCGTTAGTTATTACTGTCATACCACCCTTATTGGGAACGCATTCAACCGGGCTAACCCAGCTGCTATCTGAAATGGGGTAGATCACCCCAGCATTTAACCATTTTATTATCTCCTTCTTGACCACCTCTTTCATTTTGGGGTTAAGCCTCATTTGGCTCTCAATAGAATTGGTGGCTCCTTCTTCTAGGATGATTTTGTGCATGCAAAAAGTAGGGCTAATTACTCTTATGTCCGTTATGGTGCATCCAATAGCCCTTTTGTGCTTAGAAAAAACCTGCAAAAGCAAAGATTCATGTTCATTAGACAAAAACGAAGAAATAATAACTGGCAAAGTATCGTTTAAACTTAAATAAGCATATTTTAAATGAGAAGTTAGGGGTTTCTTCTCCAATTCTGGAGGTTTAATGATGGAATGTTTCAAGGCTTTCAAATCGGCTATTGTCGGCTGCAACAACTCGACGTGCTCAAATTGTGGCAAAATTACACCAGACGCAATTTTCGCTTCCTTTTCTACGACCTCCAAATCTGCTTCTAAGACTTCTACAATCATCACCTGAAGTTCCTCTATGATTGCCCCTATTGCAGAGCAGTCCTCGACTTCATCCGGGAGAAGCATCGCATCAAGGACGTTGAAAGTGACTTGTTCATCATTGACCTTCATAGTGATCTCTCCTTTTCGAACATTGAATACTGTGTCTCCAGTTGCTAAACACGGCCTCCCAAGAATGATTGGCACCTTAAGAGTTGCTTCACAATCCAAATTATGAAATCGGCGAGAAAAATAAACTTATCAACCTTAACAAGCACATCTTCTATTTTCCCTTCCGGTTTCTTTATGGACCTATCAGCTAGTTGTAAAGGGACAGTAGTGGGACAAGCTTCTCCTATATCTAGCTCTTTAAAGACAGAAAGAGGCATAAGATTAATGCTCGCTCCTAAGTCACACAATGTTCTCCCTAGATTCTTACCTCCTATTGAGCAAGGGATAGTAAAACTACCTGGGTCCTTACACTTAACAGGCAATGGATTCCCTAGAGTATCACTACTGCACTTTGTTAGGGCTACCGTCTCATGCTCTCCTAACTTCTTACGCCTATAAATTATATCTTTCAAAAACTTGGTGTAGTTAGGCATTTGTTCTAAGGCATCTATGTGAGGTATATTTATATGCAACTGTTTTAGAATCTCAAAGAACTTCTTAAAATGACTATTATGATTTTTCTTAACTAATCTTTGGGGGAAAGGTGGAGGAATCTTAAAGTTACCTACCTGTGGAGTATTGCAAGGCACTACTTGCTTACCTTTGTCGCCCTTCTTACCTTTCTCTTCTGAACTTACGGGTTCTGTTTTCTCTTTTGGTTGTGGAGTGGAGGTGGATGCAGGGACAGGTGTAACTGCATCGGTTCCTCCATCTAGAAGTGAGGGTCCATCATAACTCAAGCCGCTTCTTATGATGACTGCCTTACACTGCTCCTACCTTTACGATCTCGTTTCAGATTCTCTATGTGTCCTGGCAATGTACCTTGTGGTCTAGATTTTAGGTCATTTGTTATCTGCCCCACTTGCATCTCCAAGCTTCTCATCGCAGCATCATTCCTCGTCATGTATTCCTTCATCATGGCCTCCAAACTTGCATTGCTACTACCTTGCTGAGTGTTATTTTGAGCTCTTTGTTAATTTTATTGTTGTGGCGGCAATGCTGGTTGTGTAGGAAGACCATGAGGAGTTTAGTTTTGTTTGTACTGTTGAGTGGGTGCTTGCGCACTGCTCTTACTCCTCCTTGGTTACTGCAAGAGAAGTTTGGATGGTGCCTCCAACCAGGGTTGTAAGTATTTAAATATGGATTGAAATTACGCTGGGCACCTTGACCTACATAGAAAACAGACGCTGTATTAGCTGGACAGTTCTCATACAAGTGGTTATCACCACAATAAACATAAGATATATCTGAAATTTGTAAAACAGTAGAGGGTTCAAGGATAGCCGCTGAAGTGGCGGTTTTGGATTTCTTCTCCATTGTCAGCTGTTTTAACATCTGGTTCATAACCGTCATCTGGGCTGGCATTGAGACTAATTTGTCCAACTCAAAGATTCTGGTTTATACTTGCTTCTTTGACAATGATCTTCCTATTTCTCCTTGGTCATTAATGTCTATCATCTTGTTCAAAATATCAACAATCTCATTTACCGACTTTTCTAACAATGAGTCATTGGCTGTGGTGTTCAACATCATTCTCGATGAACGATCCAATCCTTTATAGAATTGTTCAATCTACACACGTGCGGGCAATCCATGGCTCGTACATCTTCTAAGTAACTCTTTAAAACGCTTCTAAGCTTCTTGAACTACTTCGTTCTCCTTTTGTCGAAAGGACACAACGTCTTCTCGAAGGTCTACGTTCCTGGTCAAAGTGTGGTACTTTGCCAAAAATTTATCCGTCAGTTCTGCCCATGTCATGATAGAATTTGGTTCTAGCACGTTTAGCCAAGTCCTTGCACCGTACCTGAGAGAACAAGGAAAAAATTTTAGTCTTAGTGCATCTTCAGAGACACCAGGAAGTTGAAATGCATTAGTTATTTCAATAAAAGATTTGAGATGGGAGTAAGGATCTCTTCGTTAGTCAAAAATCCTCCGAACTGGTCCATTGTCTACAACATCTAGAACATGATTGGCTTAAGTTCGAACTGTGTGGCTCGAGGTAAAGGATTACTTATCCCTGAATTTATGTTGTGGAACGCATGAGTGACATAGTTCCGCATGGCTACATCACTGTTATCAAGGATCGGATTAGGCACTTCTCCGGCTCGGTTTGCTGCTCCTTCACCTGCCATATCTCCGTTCACAGGTGGATTTTGTGGAGGTGGAGGATCTTATGGATTTCGATTCATCTTGACGGCCTCTTCTTCAACTTCTTTCTCTTTTTGATTTTCTCTTTCTTTTCTCAACCCCTACTCACGCCTTATTCTTTTAAGGGTTCTTTCAATCGTTGGATCAAAGGTCAACCAATCAGACCCTGTGCTCATACACAACTTCCCTTAAAGTTTAGATATAACAATTCAGTCCAATGACAGATGTATGCAACAATCACACATGAAGCCATTCACTTGAAAAGAATATGATTTTGAAAAATAAGTCTCTGGCAACGGTGCCAAAAACTTGTTAGGACTTTCTCTACCTTCAAAAATATTAGAGACTCGTGCAAGTGCACACGGTCATAAGTAATACTTGGGAGTAATCCAAGGTCGAATCCTCAGGGACTTGTTGCTTTTCAAAACAGTTTAATGAAGTGAATGGTTCAAATATGTAATTGTGGTTTATGAAGAAAATAGTGATGAAATGTTGTTGTATGGGATTTTAACTATCAAACAATCTAATAAAACTCAACCCCTTTGCTTTCTACCTTAGTTTTGATGCAAAACATGGAAACCACACTTTGTTGGGAAAATGCCCCAGGCACAATTCTAGCTTTTCTTGGGATTTTGAGTTCTACTCTTTCACTACTGCTTTTGGTTGCTGCAGAGGCTAGGGTAACCTAAAATCATATGTCTATGTATGATTATAATCCTAGAGAATAATTATCAACTCATTTGCATTATGGGTCAGAGGGCCTATGTCTAGAACCATGTTTTATGTGCTCATGTCTAAGTCACATCTCATATTGGTTTCATATTATTTTACCTAACTCACCATGTTGGGCTTTAGTGTATAAATTAAACTCCCACTGCCCAAATGGAAAAAGACGTAAAGAGAAGTTTCTAGAAACCAACCCAAAATAGTGTCAGACGCAATTCTGGACAAAATCCTGAGTGTGTTGAAAATCAAATCATTTTGACGAAGGAATTTCACAAAGAGGTTGATAACTAATTTAGAATATTATTAAAAGAGAGAAAATACACGAAAACATAAAAGAAGTATTTTTCATAGAATTAAAATTAATAAACGAGCCGTACAATTAGTTCTAGCTTGACCCTCTTCTCTCTCGAGTGTGAGGGGAGTGTAAACTTGCTAAAGAACTTAAGAAGAACAAAATAAATGCAGAATAAAAGATAGAACTTGAATTAAAAGTAATACGGTAAGCTAGAACGAGTTCTAAAACTTGAACCTAAAGCCTAAGAACGAGTTCTACAACAAAGGAGAAAGCAAATGAAGCCGAAAACGAGCTTGGAATGGATGATTTGCTGCTGAAGGGATGACTTTCTTATATAGGCCCTTGGAGTTGTTGAACTTCCCACCTTTTTAGGTGGAAATGAGTTGAGATACACCTAACCACTCTGATTTGACTTAGACTCACGGTTACAACTTGATTCAACACATATGAAATGTCATCCTTGCCCCTCATAAATCAAAACGCACGTTTTGCCAAAGTTGGTGTCCAAAATTGTCCCAGGTGCAATTCCTGCAAAACAGAAAACTGTTATTTTCTTCCGACTTTAACCGCATTTTTCTCATATTTTTCCTAAAGTACAATAGTTTGACTTTTATGCAGAAATTTTCTATGCGTGTTCTACTTTAAGAATATGTAATCATTTTTGGCAAATAATGATGGGAAAAGGGTCAAAATCATGGTGAAACAGGCTTACCGACACATGTTTCTGCAGTAAAAAGTCAACCCTAACAAGAGGCAATTCTTCTCTTTGACAGGAAAGAAGGTTTTTATCAAAAGTGTGGGTCAAGCTACTCCTACCTATTCCACGAGTGTTTTTAGACTACCAAAGGGTTTCTACAATGATATCTCAATGATGTTTGTGAGATTTTGGTGGGTCTCGAATGAAAGTAACTGGATGGAGTTGGGATAAGCTTTGCCTTCTAAAGGAGTTGGGTGGTTTGAACTTTAGGGAGCTTGAAGGTTCTAACCAAGTTCTCATTACCAGTTAAGTTTGGAAGGTGATGACCTTGCCTGATTTTCTTGTCTCGAAGGTTCTAAAGGCAATGTATTTTTCACGATCTCTCTTGATGCAGATCTCTCAAAGATGTTTGCGAGATTTTGGTGGGGCTCGAATGAAGGTAATAATAAGATGCACTTAATGAGTTGGGATAAGCCATGTCTTTTAAAGGAGCTAGGTGGTTTGAACTTTAAGGAGCTTGAAGGTTTTAACCAAGCTCCCCTTGCTAGTCAAGTTTGGAAGGTGGTGACCTCGCATGATCTTCTTGTCTCGAAGGTTCTAAAGGCAAGGTATTTTCAGGTTCTTCGGCTCTATGCGGATCTTGGAGCGAAGCTGTGTTATTTTTTTAGAAGCTTTCTTTTGGGTCGTGGTTTACAACTAAAAGGTATAAGGAGACTTGTTGGGAATGAAAAATCGAATTTTGTATTCATGAATAGATGGATACCTAGGGAGAGTAATTTGAAGCCTATTCACTCCCCCTACAAGATTCAATGATTTGTTGGTGGCTGACCTCATTATTGAGAATGAGGAATGAGATGTTCAAAAGCTAAGTTTCTATCTATGGCAAGAGGATGTGGATATTATCAAGCAGATAGTGATAATCATAACTGACAGTAATGACAACTGCTTATGGCATTTTGACAAGAGAGGTGCCTATAGTGTTAAAAATGCCTACAAATTATATATGAACTTAAAAGATCACATCATATTCTACTAATGACAATAAAAAGAAATAGGTATGGAAGAGTATTTTAAAGCTAAATGTTCCTCCTAAAGCATTACAGAACATTATCCTTTACAAACAGAAACTTGAAGCACAAAGGCATTAATATCTCACCTGCTTGTTGATGTCATTTAAGTGAAGAGATGGTGGTACATATCCTTGTAGAATGCTAGAGAGCTCAGTGAATCTGGCGTAGATGTGTCCCCTCCTTCTAGCTTGAGAAAGAATGCCCTCGAACATTTGATTCGGTTTGGGAGCCGCTACTTGATCGCCCTGACAGTGAGGAGTCGAGTATTGCAGCTATGTTGTGTTGGACGATTTGGAATAATAGGAACAAGATCAATCACAAGCTGCAAAATTTGGATGAAGCACTTAAATGATGTATCTTTTTTCTAGAGCTAGGCTATCTTTCTTCATGTGAGAGATTGGATCGTGAAACCTCTGCCTTTAGGCTCCTCTGAAAACCTATGCTCATGTCTTTATCCTAAGGGCTATAGAACTATCTCTGGCAAGCATTAAGTCGTCGAACTGCCGACTCTAGTTGCTTCTACGTACTATATTCTCTTCGCCTAACACATTCAACTACCTTTTCTTGCAACAAGTTCGACTGCAGCTCACATTTGTTTAGAATCTCTTTTTATGTGGCTCCCCTTCAGGTTCAGTTCTTCTTAGTTGAAACCTGCCACACCGACTCCCCTTTCGTCATATGACGTGGAATTAGACCAATCGAAATCTCCATAGGAACTAGTCCCTCTGATTTCACACGTAGGAGATCGAGACACTGCTCCAGGGCTATGGACAAAGATGTAGATCAATCGTCCTATCTCGACAACTACATAGAGGATTGGATTTTTTCTTACCTGGAGTCGTATCGTCCACATAAGGCTTCTGTGTCAAAGTGCAACCAGTTCGAATGAATGAGTAACTAGTGAGAGACGCAAAGAACTCTGAAAAAAAAAAGAAATGGGTAAAAAATATTACCGTAGAGTTTCATCGAAAATAGTTATAGGAGGTGAAGAATCACAAAAAAAAAAAACGGATGAAGATTAAGCGTCGTGAAGATATCATATAATGAAAATGTCGATCGAACATGCAAATATATTAATTTAGATAACAAGTTGAAATATATTAAACATGAACAAGGAAGCTAATATATTAATTTAGAATATATTAGTATTCTCAAAGTATTCTCGGACTTGCTAATACATTATATTAAACATGTTCAAATTCCTACAAACAAAAATTACAGAATTAAACAAGTCACACACCAATCCCAACAAGGAAGCTCATCCATCAATTAGTTGCATTCTTAATTGTCGACTACTTTGGGGTCATGAAAGACCTAATGAAAAAACAATACACAAGTTAGATAAATGAATAACAAAAGATAAATAAAGAAAGAAAGTCACTTCTAAAAGTACGTGTTTATCTATTAAAAATTGCAAAGGATCGTGATCTTTGCAAATAACATTCTTAAATAAACACACTAGGAGCCTATCAAAATAGTGATATTTGCAAATACAGATTCCAACAGAACAAAATTGATTAAACAAAAACCAACCTACGTACACTTCTTCTACATCTTTTTGTAATATCCCATAATATTTAAAAATTTAAACAACTATTACAATGATTGAAAATGTACATTAATCTTCTACAACACTACAAATAATCAACATTCATAGTCTTCCTTATCAACTTACTCAATAATCTGATAAAATCAACCAACATAACAACCAAACAAATATCGCAATAGAAGAAGCACAATTAAAATAAACGACATGCCTACACTTCTTAAATTACATAGCACAAAATATCAGTACAATCATAAGATTTGTAAATGTACAATTATCCCATAACGAAAGTATCAATAATAAGTATTCATAAAACTCTTATGTACTTACACAATAATATGATACGATAACCAACAAAATGACCAAACAAAGTTCCAAACAGAACAAAAGAGGTTACAATAACAAAAGAACCAAACACTTCTTCTATATCCTTCAGTAGCACAGCACAAAATATACTTGAACAATATAGTACAAACTAGCTAGTATATCAGAAGGATTGTAAACGTACATTCCTCGTCTAACGACAGTATCTATAATCAATATTCAATCTTCCTTGTGAACTTACTCAACAATCTGATAAATGTGATAAATTAACTATAGTTACAGCATATAACAAGGCCGATTCAGAAAGATTTAAGATTCAAATGCTATAGTATGAATAATGATGAAAAGCAAGTTAGCTTACCTTTGTTATAATAGAACTTTGATGGAAATGACCACAACATGCTTAAGCTCACCTGGATGTGGTCCGACAAAATAAAAAACCCTTACAACTTCTCATTCTAGTGCGAAGCTTGCTTCTGTCATATAAACCAATAATAAGCAAGTTGGGAAAATGAGCTTTCTCAAAAAATTTGACATAAACAATAACATTCAAACAAAATTTTAAATAATGCAGTACCACATACGAGTTGAGGTACGAACCCAACCAAGAATTTCTTATAGGTTAAAAACTCAATGCTTCCATCTTAACTTCTCTCCGACACTTATTTGCTAGACTTAAGAAAATAACTCAAAATTCGTAGTAAGTAAACACAATAAAGTGACAGAATCAACAAAAAAAAATGCAAAAAGGTTGTGAATCTTCTAAAACCCAACTACACATGGTGACTATGTACTAAAAAATAACCCAACAAGCAGTAAAGTTGTAAATCTAAAAAGTAAAAGAAAATAATATTTCATTGAATTTCAAACAAAGTGAAAATTTAGTGTATCAAGTGAATCAAGTCCTTCCTTACTCAATTTATACCACACCAATTCTACACAATCTGCTATTTACCTTCATCATATAGATTGAAGCTTTTGTTTCAAACATTACAAAATAACAAAATTCCTTTAAGATAAGTGAATAAGCTTATAATCAAGATCTTTTATATATGTTTTTGCTTCTGGCATATATAGCTTCTGGTAAAAAAAATGCATAACACACAACTTATGATATGCTTATAATATGCTTGAAGAAGAAAACAGAGCAAATTATAAGTAACTGAGAGAGATTGGTACCTTCACTTGCTAGTAAGTTGTAATCCTAATTTAATCTCTATTGAAAGCATGTGGAAGTTGACGAGCTACGACCACCAACCTTCCAATGGCAACTGCCATGTTAGAGGAGTAGCATCGTGAACTTTCCTGAAAGTAGAAGCTTTAGTAAGTGATACTCCATCCTTTATTAGCAAAAATAAAAAATAAAAAATAAAAAAATTGATCAAAAGTTTTCCAAAGCAAATCAAAAGGGACTTTTTTAACATTCAAACTTTCACAACTTTCTTTCAAATGCTCAATAAAGATCATTAATACACCTCTAAGATTCCAATATACTAGAAGATCAACCATCAACAAAATTTCAAAAATTTCAAAAATGAGGTTGGTGCACTAACAAAAGACGGCTTCACCTCCTGAATTGTGGAGCGCTCTACAACATTGTCTTGGAAGAATTCATTTGAACCAAGTATGTGGTCTCTAATTTTTTTTTGCAAACTCTCTATCAATCCTCAACCAGATGAAAATATAGGTAATGGCGGTAAATTAAAGGCTAAAATCATTTGATAAACAAGAGACATGTTCAAAATATCCCCTGTATTAAGAATTAATAGTAATCCCACCTCTTTATATATATATATATATATATATATATACATACTTACTTTACAAAAGTTTTTAATCCCAAGACAAAAATAAGAAAGCACACAGAGGAAAATACTAATGTACTAAAGTTCTAACATAGAGGAAAACACAACTGATATACTAACTAAAGCAGTAACACAAACGAAATTTTAGCATTGTTTGGGTGTGCTCTGATTAGTGGATTTACCAGATGATTAAACCCAAGAGTTCAGCGACCATGAGTGCTATTTGTTCAAAGGTGCGGAATTTTGATAATTGAACAAATACCCCTGGCATTAAAGCGGTTAAAAAGTAGCTGGTTAATAACAAAATGAACCTCTAGTCTCTACGGTCGCCAACGAGAAGAAACAGAGGAATTTTTGTTGAGTCTACCCGAACTAATTTATGTTGAACAAAAAAAAAAATTACTTACAGCTTGTATTTCTCAGTTTCGCATCTTGTAATTCTCCGAGACTTATGATCAATAAAGAACTCTGCTACAGTTCCTTGTAATCTTTCAATGGAATCCACCAACATTATAAACATGGACAACAAAATGAAAGATCCAATTAAATTTTATAGGCTGAATCAATAAAAAAAAAAACTTGAAAAATTTGGTTCCACAGCATTTGAAGTAACAGTTGAATAAATAAATAAAATAGCTAAAAAATTTATTGAACTTTCGTGAAGCATGGGTATTCAAGTTTGTCACGCGAGAGTTAGCTCGTTTCACGTTAAGACTACATCAAAACATAAAATCAGACATAAACACATAAACAACATACATAAGTATACTGTTTGATGTTACCTCCTATATAACAACTTCATCCTTCAACTACAACTTAGAATTGTTGGGGGTAGGAGGGTCACTCGTTATTTGCAATTCGGGGTATTTTAAATCAAATATGAGAGTAAATCTCAATTATACCAGTGAAACATATAATTATTAACCTTATATGTACTAGTCGACCGGTTACACATTAGCAATCATGGACAATCTTGAAATATGACTTGACAAGCTAGACTTGAGCTCTCAAATATGAAAAATATACTCAAGACTATGGCAGTTAAAACAAATTCTAAACCATCTAATTGTCCACAAATTCAAAAAAAAATCACAAAATAAATTAACCATCATGCTTCATGAATAAAAGTCTTAAAAAAATTCAAAATTTCATTATCAAAGTTTTATTCAACACCCAAATAACCATAGATCTTCCATAACCACAAACAAATAGTGAAATTCTTGGGACCACAAATAATCCATATATCAAAATAGAACATATTCAGTTCAAATATTCCATAAATGCTTTCAAAATAAAAAATACTCATACAAGTTCAGAATATAAACAATCCAAAATAACTTAGAAATTCAGAACATACAAACTCACACAAAGTCTAAATACCCAAAAATTTAAAAGCACTAAATAGTGTGAAATACCGACTAATTTTCAGACACAATCTCAAAAACTATGCTCACCCACCTGACTCACTTACTATCGATTCTTCTCATCGTGGATTTGAATGTGTCGGATCTACTCGCACCTGCTCGCTGAACAGTCATCGGAGGAGCTCATGCCACCACTACTCGCTACTGTTGCATCAAACCACCGTAGAGAGGAACGCAGTGACTGGGTCTTCACATCATGGGTTTTGCACGCCATCGGGTCTATCGTCGTCGTTCGTTTGGACAATTAGATCTACAGGAGACGAGTTTTGTGCCAAATTCGTTGGGTTGCACTGCCACGTGATCTTCTGGGCACTGTTGGATGTTCACCTGCTGGAGTGGAGCAAGATTTTGGGAAGGTAAGGGATGGAAGAGAAAGGGAGAGACAGAGTGATAGTAGTGTTGGTGATTTGTTAGAGAGAATAATATGAAGAAGATGGGAAGAAGATTGAGATGGAGATAAAGGGGGAGCGGCTGGATGGTATGAGAGAGGGGCCCGAACGAAGAAAATAGGGCTTTCTAGGGGGAGAGAGGGATTGGGGTAATTAAAAGTAAAAACAAAATGATTTTTTTTAATTAAAAATAAACTTTGCTAACGAGAAGACCCATCAATTTTTTCTTTTGTCATGGTACATGTAAATCTAACCGATTTAATTTATAAAACATTACAACTCATTTTTTAGTTTTTAATTATTTAATTTTGTATTTCAAAAAAATATATATTTAATTTTAAATTAAATTAGTAAAAGAAAATTTATTGTAAATAAATAATAAACAATAATATCAAATAAAGTGTAAAGATTTTTTAAAACTTCAATATAAAAATAAAATTGATTGATATTAAATAAAATTATATAAAGTATAACTAAAATACTAAAAAAAATATATTTTAAATAATATAATACAATTTTAAATTAATTATCAATATATTAACTTTTCTCCATAAAAAAAAATATATATATATATATATATATATATTTATTAGCTTATTCTAGTAATATTTATGTCTGATTTCGATTTCATATAAAAGTAAACAACTTAGTTTCCAATTTTGATTTCATTTACAATTTTAAATAAACAATATTAACATCAAAAAATAACATTCACATTGTCATTGATTTCATTGCAATTGATTTTCATTCTAATTCATTGTCATTCTAATTTCAGATGAGTAAACAAAGAACTGATTTGAAAACATATGACATTAAAGGTGGGGGAGACATAAGGACAGACTAATGTGAAGCTAAACAAACCAAATTAATAACTCAAAATAACCACATAACACATGAAAAACTCACAAAATCCATAAACAGAAATATTTTTGGCGGGAAAAAACGAAGTTCTTCGGATTGCCGGCTTTTTCATGATGCGTAAAAACGTCACAAAATAGTATTTTTGTGACGTTTTAGAATCGTCATGATATTGTAAGAAGAAATTTGACTTATTCGTGAAAATGGTTTTTCATGATGTTGTTTATACTTCCCTTAGATTTTTTTTTCTCTTTTGGGTACCAGATTTTTTTTCTTTTAAGAATCCTTAAATTTGTTTTCAAAATAAAAAAAAAAAATCGTTAGATCAGTTAAAGCTTTAGGATTTGACAGTAATTTTTTCTTTTTTTTAGATTAAGGATTTGACAGTAATTAAAAATTGGATTTACTCAAAAAAAAATCTTAAGTGCTTAATTAGATACTTAAATTAGAAATTTGGATATTAATTTAATTTTCCTTTTGGATTTTGTTATTGGGTTTTAAGTTAATCTCTTAATTTATTTTCTCAAAATTTATTTTCTCAAATCCTTATTTAAGTCGGTTTTATTTCGAAGAAAAAGATTAAGAAAAATCTCTACTGGCTTAGTTTATTTTTGTTTCGATTTATTTGGATCCAATCTTTTTTTATAAAAGAAAATAAAATTTAAGAAAAAAAAAGAACACAAGAGGAAAAGAAAAGAATTAAAAAAAAAAAGGAAAAACTCTATCATCTCTTTCTTCCTTTCCCTTCCCTTCTTTCCCTTGCCCTAGCCGCCCGACCCCTCTCTTTCTTCTTCTTCAGCAAGCCCTCACCAGCGACAGTGGCCTTCTAGTGAGCGACGGCGTGCGACAACCACGGCAGCCAAGTCCCAGATCGACGAGCAGCGGCCTTCGGAACGTAACGGCGAACAGGTGAGGCGTTTTCTCCTTCTCAGCTGCGGCGTCCGTCTTTTATCCCTGACGGTTTTTGCACAAATCCACGACAAACGGAGGCGACGCGGCGGTTTTAGGCCGTGACAGCGGCACACACGGCAGATTGCTGCGTTTTGGGGCGTTTTCCGGCTACAACCCGACATCATCAGGTTCTTGCCAGATCCTGTGGTCGCGATGGCGGCTTCCCCTCTCCGGCGTGCTTCATTCCCGACGGCAGCCCCTCCTCCAACCGTCCAGATCTGTCAACCCACGGTGGTCCATGAAGGCGGTTCAACACTGGAATTGCGGCGTTCCGACAGACCAGTGGCGGCGCGTTCCCTGGGATCTGACAATGGCAGCGGCAGTAGCCCGATTCCAAGACGTATTCTTCATTCCGACAACATTCGGCGATGACCCTCACCCAAACGAAATCAAACTGGTGCATTGGTGAAACATTTGAATGGTAAGAGTTCCTTCTGTTTTGGACATGAGTTTGGTGTGTTTTCTGAACAAATTTCTATTTTATCCCCTACGTGTAGATGAAGCTCTGATACCATAAAACCATAAAAAAAGAGTAAGGGCAAAAATGAACTGGGGAGTAAACAAGAAGATGTTTAGAAAGAATTTCTCTACATGTCTTTCAGTAAATAATAATTTCTGACTTAATACATTTATCTTATGACTTATAAAAGAAACATGGAAAGTATGTCTAATGGTAAAAAAATAGAGGCAAAAACATCTTGTCATTTTGACAAAAAGGAATAAATTAGATAAGAAATAGCTGAACTGATTTTCTGTGATGGGTTGATTTTAGGAGCAATTTGAACTTTGTAAATTAGACTTTTTCCAAATTGTGATTCCTTGATTATAAGAGCAATTGAACCCAGAATCTTCCCATTGTTTATGTCGGCTGAATTTCCTTATTTATTTCACTTGTTGGTTCTTTATCATGTTCTAAGTGCATCATTTAGCATTTTGGTGACGGTTCCAATGTTATTTTTTCATGATTTCGTTTATGTAGAATACTAGAATGCTAACATTTACGGAATGCTTTGTGAAACTAGAATGCTAACATTTACTCACTTGTGTTCTATTTTATGTAGTGTTTATATTTGTGTCATGCATATAGTTTAAAGTCTAGTTAGATAATTGTGTGGCTATCCTGCAGCAAAAATAGCAAATTAAGACTTAGTGTTTATATGTGTTATGCATATAGTATGAAGTCTAGTTGGATAATTGTGTGGTTCAAAGTTTAGTTGGATAAATGTGTGGCTATCCTGCAGCAATGATAGCCAATTAAAACTTAGTTTTTATATGTGTCATGTATATAGTATAAAGTCTAGCTGGATAATTGTGTGGTTTAAAGTTTTGTTGGATAATTGTGCGGCTATCTTGCAGCAAAGATAGTCAATTAAGACTTAGTATTTATATTTGTGTAGTGCATATAGTTTAAAATCTAGTTGAATAATTGTGTGGCTATCCTACAGCAAAGGTAGCCAATTAAGATTTGGATAAGTAAATTGTTTTTGCTTGTTATTATTCAACATCTGTGTTGTTCATAAATCAGTTTTATTTTGGTAAAGTTTTTTTTATTGATTATGTAACTTTATTGTGTTTACTTACTACGAATTTTGAGTTATTTTCTTAGATCTAGCAAATAATTGTCAGAAAGAAGTTAAGATGGAAGCATTGAGTTTTTAACATATAAGAAATTTTTGGTTGGGTTCGTACCTCAACGCATTTGAGGTACTGCATTATTTAAAATTTTGTTTGAATGTTATTGTTTATGAAAATTTTTTTGAGAAAGCCCATTTTCCTAACTTGCTTATTATTGGTTTATATGACAGAAGCAAGCTTCGCACTAGAATGAGAAGTTGTAAGGGTTTTTTATTTTGTCGGACCACATCCAGGTGAGCTTAAGCATGTTGTGGTCATTTCCATCAAAGTTCTATTATAACATGTTGGGTGTGTTCTCCTAAACTCGTAGTTTGTATTTTGTAAAAACAAATGTCTATTTAATAAAGTTTTATTCAATAAATTTGTTGTTGAATGATAGCTTTGTATTGTCCAAAATCCAATAAACTAAACATCCAAGGTTATGATGTAATCGGGACAGTATATATACTGGGTATATAGTTGATATACGTGGTATATATTTGATATACCCCTGATATATGAATGGATAATGTCTAAAGTGTCTATAGTATATGAATAAGGCTGGATACCTGGCAACACTATGGATACGGTCCGCTCTGTAAAGGTTATAGACGACTCGATCCATGTCGTTCTTGTGGAGACATGCGAGTGAGATATCCTGTACAATGAGTTTGTATAAGATCAGATCGCGAAATAGGCAATCTTTAGATGTAACACCGTTAACTAATAGATTGCCATTTCTTAGGATGACCAGACAACTTATTCTCAATCCTGAGTGAGTTATGGATTTCTGCCTGTGAGGGCTCGTTCTTTGATTTGTATGGTTGAGAGTGGTCCGAGTCGCCGACTCAACATTCCTACCATTTTGGGGACGAGACCGAGTGGGGAGCTAGGAACATAACTTCAAAAGATGAAATTCACTCCTCCCCAACTTTAAGGAAGTAGGTGAGTGTTCCCTTAAATGCTGACTTCGGGACTTGAACAAAGGGCCCCACCCTCTCATTGGCCGAGAGGGACTTCCGGTTATTGGTTGGACCATAACCGGGTTGTTCATTAGAGGAGCAGTGGTGTTTAAGGAGTAAGATGTAACTCAGGGGTAAAACGGTAATTTTTCCCAACTTGAGTTACAAACACTCGTGAAGGATTGACTCGTCATTAATTGTCGTATATCTATGGACACGAAAACATTCTGTAGTGAAAAGAGTGCAACTGCGGGTCTTTAGTGGAATGACCCGTAGTTAACGAATATAGATTAACTCGATCAATGAGTTTGACCGATTAATCTTGCATCGTTGAAGCTTCGGATCTGTAGGTCCATTAGGTCCCCTTTCTAGCTCATAACGGGTAAAACGAGGATCAAATTTTTTGGAAGAATTTGAATTGTTCAAATTACTTAAGGGATTATATGTATATTGATACATTATAATATATATAGTTAATTGTAAATTAAAACTATATATTATGAGAGATATTATTTGAATGAGATTCAAATAAAATTAATATGAATRAGATTCATATTAAAGCTATAGGTTAAAAATAATGTGCATAAGATGTACATTAAAACTATAGGTTATACGAGAGAAATGTTTTAGAATATGATTTTAATTTTATAATAAATAATTAAGTGTTAATTATTTATGTATATATATATA